TTATGGGTTGTCGCATCATCTTTTATAGTCTGCATTTTATTATTCATCTTCCTCCATGCAATTAATATCATTTAATTCTTTTTTTTTTAATTCTATTGCACTTCTTTTTTTCAAGCCTTTTAAGGTCCCAAATCTACCGCATTTTTTTTTGTTCTTCTTATTGAACCTATTTGGCTCTTATTTGTCTCTTTTAAAAAATTAAACTTCAATGCCTGACAAATGTATTCTGAAGTGGCTTATCGTGTTCAAGCATTACTAGAAGGTCGAATTGGCTCATTTTCTCAGGGCGGTGATGATCAAACCGCGAAGGTGTTGTGCATATAAACAAACAGGTCATGATTCGTAAATCATATAACACTTCAAGACAATTCAACAAACCGAAATATAATAAATATTAAACAAAAGTTTCAAAAATTACTGAGTTTTTAGTTAAAAATCAGCGGTGTACATCGCTGCAAACAATTTACACTTCAAAAAGTTTTCACGATCCTATATTTCTTAAAAAAATTATTTATAAAATGAATAAAAGTCTACAAGTAAAAACATACATCTTCCTCCTCCTTCAATCGTCTCAAATATTGATACAGTGGTTGTGAAATAGAGCTAAAGACGAAAAATCACATGTGTGTGTGTGTTGGGGGGGGNGGAGTTTGCTTGACGGTCAAAGGGAAAATAAAACATTTCGTCTGGAAATGTTTTACCAATATACTTTCTATGAATATCAATATCATGAGGAGAGGCATAGAAATCGATGTCTGCTGCAATGGTTGTGGACAGAAAGACTAATCAATCGAGCACTTGTTCTTCAAGTGGCCAAGAGCTCATGTAGTCTAGAAATTAGCACCACTACATTGGGATGGGATCAATTCAGACAACAACTTCAGACAATGGTGATGGCAAATTTGTTACATTAGCCATTCTGAAACTTCATAAGCTTGCATTCAACTTAACATATATATCTTGTGGTGACTATGGAAGTCTCGTAATTTGTGGATTTTGTGAAGATACTTGGCTGAAGGAGCATGATGTGATCAAGGTTGTCATCAAGAAGTGGAAGAAGTACTGTTCTGTTTCTCGTGTTGTTTCTTGACTCAATTGCAAGCTACGTCCTTAAGACCGTGGCTTGCGCTGAGTTGTTTTTTCTTTTTTCTTTCTGCTTCGTTTAGTGTGGGTCTCTTTTTAACTACCTGCAGGGTTCACTTGTTTATCTGCCTGTGGCTTCTTATTGATCTAGATTTTTTAGGCACCTTTGAGTTGTAGTCTGATTTTATCGATTGTATTTAAACTTTGTTTGGCTTGTTTTGTTATATAAGTTTGTCTATCATTTCGAAAAAAAAAAAAAAAATCGAAACTTCACGTACAAGTATAGAGGGATGTATGTGGATGCTATTTATCTTGCAAAAACGTCAAAGGGTAAAATCGTCTTTAGAAACATTCTCTCGCATATACTCGCGAATAATTAGCCCTGCGGCGCAGGCCCTCATTTCTTCAGTTACATTTACTCTACCAATCGCATCGGCTCAATTGCAACAGTGATGGAGCTTACTTTTCCGGCGGATTCTCCTCCACTTCACTCTATCGCCGCCTCCAAAATAGCTGGGATTTCTCTAACCGCCACACCTTCACCGGAATCCGGCTCCTCGCCGATTCTTGTTCTGGCGACCGGGTAATTATCGTCAAATCCCCATTCTTTAGTATGCTAGGAATTCTTCTCTACGTGATTCTCTTTTTTCGCTTGCTTTGGTTTCATTATGCATTCATTAATTTGGTTTTGGAGCTGAAATAGTTTTTGAACTTAACAACGAAATAGGATTATGGTTGAACCGTCGACATTCTTGTAATAAGACTTATTTTTCGACCCTTGATTTTATTTTTCAATTTTTTTTCTGCACTGAGAATGATATGGGAGATCTGAAAAGCACTGAGTGGAATGAAATATCCAATATTGTAATAGTTGGTCTTCTTATTACTCTTCGTTTGAGAATTAACTTCAATCTGACGAAGAACCGGATTTTTATATGGAGTACGACTGGATTTGTTGGATAAGACACTAGACTGGCATCTATGGATCATGAGGATATTATAAAGGATACCTCTTAGTTAGATTTCCATGTTTATATTATTCTCTTTTAACTTGAAGTTCCTATCTTGACGAAAGAAAATACTTCTCAGGCAAAGGTTGTGTGGAGCAAATGTTATCCTAAGATATATTGGTAGGATTTCGACCTTACCCAATTTCTATGGTCAGGATGCTTATGAATCAAGCAAGGTGCTCTTCTTATCAAACCATCTCTTGTTTTTCTTATTGTTGGTTGTTCATGTTGTTTCTTTTAATCTTCATAATCTTTTTATGAACAATTTTTGGTTTTATAGATAGATGAATGGATCGATTATGCTCCTGTCTTCGGCTCTGGATCTGAATTTGAGTTTGCATGCGGCTTTGTGGATGAATATTTACTTCAAAATACTTTTTTGGTCGGTAATACCCTATCCATTGCAGATGTTTCCATCTGGGTTGCTCTTGCAGGTAAAGTTCCTTACTTTCTGTAACTGAGTCTCAAATTGTGGTTGTTTTGTTCCCTATATTTTTTCAGTATCCGAGCAACTCATCATGCAACCTGTTTACTTATATTATCTCAATGTCCTAATATTTGTTTCTGATTGCTCAATATCTATTAATTGAGTAGGCTATGTTTGGTAAAACTAGAAGATAAGCTAGCTTCTAGCTTATAATTGATTTTCTAGCTTATAGCTTATGACTTATAGCTGAAAAACCAGCTTATATGATAAAAGTGTTTGGTAAAATTAGCTCATAAGCTAGCTGAAGTAAAAATTTCAACGAGCTTATTTGAAAAGCTACCCTAAGAAGCTTGTGAGATGAGCTCGAGCTTTTTAAAAAATCTCGTCCTACCAAACGAAGCTTATTTTAATATAGTTGTTTCCTCATGGCAGTGCTATTTTATTTAGGTCATTTATTTATTCTTATACTTCTTAAGTTACTTTTTTTCTACTTTTTCAGGAGTCGGTCTGAGATGGGAAAGCCTACGGAAGTCCAAGAAGTACCAAAACCTTGTCAGGTGGTACAACTCGATATCCTTTGAGTATGATGCAGTGTTAACTGATTTTATTGCAACATATCTTGTGAAGAGAGGCGTGGCCAGGGCCTCAGCTCCCAAGTCTAGAGACACTCAAGCCTCTACTTCCCAGCCAGCCACTGTTCAGAATGGAGCTCACACAGCTGAAACACCTGCAAATCGGGCCTTTGAGGTGGACCTTCCTCATGCTGAGGTCGGCAAAGTTAAATTACGTTTTGCACCAGAACCCAGCGGCTACCTTCACATTGGCCACTCGAAAGCTGCTTTATTAAACCAATACTTTGCTGACCGGTACAAGGGCCAGGTCATTGTGAGGTTTGACGACACTAACCCGGACAAGGAAAGCAGCGAGTTTGTTGATAATCTCCTCAAAGACATCAAGACTTTGGGGATTAAATATAATGCTGTGACATATACATCTGACTACTTCCCAGAGCTTATGACTATGGCCGAGAAGTTAATTCGAGAGGGTAAGGCCTACATTGATGACACTCCACGCGAGAAAATGCAGCATGAGAGGATGGAGGGCATAGAGTCTAAGTGCAGGAATCACAGTGTGGAGGAGAATTTGAAGTTGTGGAGGGAAATGATTTGTGGCTCTGAGAGAGGCTTAATGTGTTGCCTTCGTGGGAAACTCGATATGAAGGATCCGAATAAGTCGCTTAGGGATCCGGTGTATTATCGTTGTAACTTGACTTCTCACCACAGGATTGGTTCTAAGTATAAGGTGTACCCGACATATGACTTTTGCTGCCCTTTTGTGGATGCTGTGGAGGGAATCACGCATGCGCTTAGGTCAAGCGAGTACCATGACCGTAATGATCAGTATTATAGAATTCAGACGGATATGGGGTTTAGAAAGGTTCATATATACGAATTTAGTCGACTGAATATGGTTAACACGGTTCTCAGCAAGCGCAAGCTGCTGTGGTTTGTGCAGAACGGGAAGGTCGAGGGTTGGGATGATCCTCGATTTCCTACTGTTCAAGGAATAGTGCGTAGAGGTCTGAAGATTGAGGCGTTAATTCAATTCATTTTGGAGCAAGTAAGTTTTGTTTTGGTAATTGTTAATAAAGAAGGCTGTGAAATTTATCATATTTTTTTTTATCTTTTTAAACTTATTTTTGCTGGGCTAGATTGAACTGTATTTCATGTCAAGCATAAATATGTGCAGTGGGTGTGATGCATAAGGTTTGTATATAAAATAACTCATCCCACACTCAATCCATACTCAAAATCTAAGTTAACCCTACTATTCTCAATATTATCAATATAATTAAATAATATCAAATAACCATTCTTACACATGACTTCAACTTTAATTCAATATTCATCCTCTCACATAATCTTAGCTAATCATCACTTCACGTTATCTCTCTCCTACTTTTACATCAAACCAACTTTTATTATTTTATTTTAAATATTATTTTAATCTAAACTTAAAATCCTACTAACAACTAACCATACTACCTTTCTTAAAATTAACCATGATTAACAAAAAAAAAAAAAAAAAACTCAATTTGAGCAAATATATCTGTATACAAACACCCTCGTAATTATTTTGAGCAAATATATTTGTATAAATGTTTATGCTTGTGTGTATTATGGTGAATAACTTTACTGTGTCCTTGTTCTCTAGGAGTAATTTAAACTCTTGGTTTTTTCAACTCTTCAGGGTGCATCAAAGAACCTTAATCTTATGGAGTGGGATAAGCTGTGGGCCATTAACAAGAAGATAATTGATCCTGTGTGTCCCAGGCATACTGCAGTTATTGAAGAAAGGCGTGTATTGCTTGTCCTAACTGATGGGCCGAAAGAACCATTTGTCCGCATTTTAGCTAAACATAAGAAATATGAAGGTGCTGGTGAAAAAGCTGTGACTTACTCAAACAGATTATGGATAGACTATGCTGATGCTGTATCGATCTCAGTGGATGAGGAAGTCACTCTGAAGGACTGGGGCAATGCAATTGTGAAGGATATCAAGAAGGACGAAACTGGAATTGTCACCCAGTTGGTGGGTGTTTTGAATCTTGAAGGAAATGTTAAGAAGACAAAGTTGAAGCTGACTTGGCTGCCGGATTCAAGTGAGCTTGTCCGGCTGACCCTCATGGATTTTGACTATCTTATTACAAAAAAGAAGGTAAAATATTTGTATTCTGATTTCCCAATTTCACATAGATAAGAGTAGCATTTATTGTACAGTGCAAGTAAATACAATATTCGATGTTCATTGGTCATACCCATTTTTACACTAATTCTTGGGTTAGGAAACTGTCAAAATGTCAGATGAAAGTATTTCTTTTGTGACTCGCTCATTTATTAGAATATTTGAAAAATGCAGCTTGAGGAGGATGAAGATTTTGTTGATGTGGTCAACCCATGTACGAAAACTGAGACGTTGGCATTTGGAGAATCGGACATGAGGAACTTGAAGTGTGGGGACGTGATACAGCTGGAGAGAAAAGGGTACTACAGATGTGACGTGCCTTTTGTGCGGCATTCAAAGCCCATAGTTCTGTTTGCAATACCGGACGGCAAGCAGCAAAGTGTAGCCAAGTAAGAATTCACCTTACTCTGGTTGTGTTTTGGGCGTCAAGGATATGGAAAAATATTGTCCTTTGGATATCAATTGAATTTTGTATGCTTCATGCTATGACTAGATGCCTATTTTGAGATGTTTCGTGACACTTTTCTTCCTTTCCCGAGATTTTATTCGATATACTATATTGTGGTCACTTTTGAAAGGTTATTTGCTCTAGACTTGATTTGATGTCTAAAGAAGAAAGAAAGTTGCCAAATTTAGTCTATTATTATGGGGGCGGCAGTTTCTTGTCTTAATTTGCAGGTAGCCCTCTGTTCGGCTCTAAAAACATCTGATTCTTGGCCTAAGCCTGGCTGTTGATGTTGGAATAAATGAGCCAAAATGGTGCACTCATTACAAGATTTTATGTTGGTAGTTTTAGAAACGGAAAATCTCAATATTATCAGCCATGGTTTTAGAAACTTGGCAATTGAAATGCATATCGAAAATGGCAGGAGCGTACATATTGAAAATTGGCGTCCACGCTCAAGAATTTTGCTGCAATACGGCCGGCTAGAAAAAAATAACTAAACTAATCCAATTAACTTTTCATTGATGATTCTTTCATCAAACACAGCTTTCCCGAGTGGAAGAGGTTCAATTCAATAGTTCCGACTTTGACTTTGAAGCGCTGCCGGGTGAAAAAGCCTCAGCATGAGCTTTGACTATTGGCATATAAATTATGAAGAGAAGAAAAAAGAAATTATCATTTGTCTTTTTGCAATTACATTTTTTTTTTTTTTTGACAAAACGATAGGAAACTCACTAAAAAACAAGTGAATACAATATCCAAATACAGACTAGGCAAAAGCCAATAAATCACGCGAGAGATGGGAGGCCTCACAGGCGAGGTCTAAAGCAAATAACAATAGTAGAGGCAACCAGAAGCAGAGAACCAAAGCTAAAATACACAACTCAGAAATAGGCCCAGAGAAGAGATAATAAACTGTCCACTGACCTAAACTATCTCCTCAAGAAGCCTTAACCCCTGCAGCTAAACAACCTTGAGCTCAAGCCACTCCCTGACAGCTTGCTTGACGATGCAATGCTCAGGGAGATTCTGTTTCTAGAACAACCAAAGGTTGCGGGATTTTCACAACCACCAAAGAATATAGGTCGTGAGCTGAATTCTATCTTCATTTATCACCTTGGAAATCAATGTACATATGTTCAACCACTAGTTAGAGAAGGAAGCTGAAGAGATGGGAAAATTTTCCCAGCTGATTGGAGCAATTTTCCAGACTTTTTGAGCTTTGGTACACTGCCAAAATATGTGTTCAGTAGTTTCCTCGACTTCACCACAGACAACACAAATTGGGTCCACAGATACACCTCTTTTGATGAGATTGGTGCTTACAGGTAAAGCATCTGAAAAACATTTCCATATAAAATGTTTAAGTTTGCCTTTAACTTGTAGTCCTCAAGTTCTTGATCTCGTTTTCATATCCTTGACTCCAGTGTTACTTCCCTCTGGACTATCTATCAGGTGCATTTTTGTCAGTGATCAGATTAGAATATGCAGCAGCAACTGAAAAAAAGACCCTTTTGGCCCCTATGCCAAATCCAGCCATCCTCCTTATCAGGGTTCAGATGCTTCATTGTTAAAATAGCAGCAGCCACATCTCTTTCAAAAAGATTGTTAACAAGGTTAGAGTTCCAACTTCTACCATCTCCATTCAGTAACTCATGAACCCAACCACAAATAGTTTGAACTCCCTGTTTAAAAACAACTCTTTGGTTGTCAAGATATTTAATCTAAGGGTAGCCGAGTATTGAAGCATTTTTACCACTCTGCAAATCTACTTTAAGCTTGGAATCAAACTTTTCCTTAACCACCATCCAGCTATTCCATAACCATGAGCCATCTAATTTCTTGTTGGCCTCAAAGAAAGAAGAAGATGGAAAGTACCTTGATTTTTAGACTTTGGAACCCTCCACAACTGCTTCATTATCATGGCCCCATTGAACAACTGTATATCTTGGAACCCCAATCCTCCCATCTCTTTGGGCAAGGTTACTTTCTGCCAAGCCACCCAATGAACACCTCTGGCTTGCTCTCCCCCTCTGCTCCACAAAAATGAGCACACAACCTGGAGATATCTTTACAAACAGCAGCAAGTAACTTAAAACAAGTCATCAAAAATGGGCAAAGCAGTAAGAACAACCCTGATCATTCCTTGCCAGCTGTTGGGAGGTGCTTACTCTTCCAGCTAAGGATTCTTTTTCTAACAACTTCATGGACATAAGAGAAAGTTTGAATTTTAGATTGCCCAATGCCCAATGGTAATCCCAGGTATTTAGTGGAGCACTAAACAAAGATGTTGTTGAGAATAAAACAGATACTTTCCTTCACTTGCCTGGGAGTGTTTTTGCTAAAAAGTACTAAAGACTTACTCCAATTAACTTTTTGTCCAGAGAAGGCTTGATATTTATCCAGGATATCCATAAGCTGAAAAGCTTGATTGCTATCTGCCTTGCAAAAAATAAGAGTGTCATCAGAAAATAATAAATGAGATAGTGTAGGACCTCCCTTTGCAATTCTGAGCCATTTTGAGACCACCGATACCCTCCTCTAACAGGAGAAGGCAAGAGAATACCTCAGCTACCAGGATAAACAAGTAGGGGGACAAGGGGTCCCCCTGTCTAATCCCCATAGAAGGGTGCACCAGTCCAAAAACAATGCAATTCAGATTAAAAGAGTATGTGGTGGAAATGATGCATCCCATTACCCATTTGACAAACACAACTGATGAAAGCCTATTTTACTCATAACCAATTTCACACTTTTCCATTTAAGTCTATCAAAAGCCTTAAGAAGGTCAAGTTTTAAAGCCATGAAGAAGTGTCTGTCTGACCTATGCCTATTAAGAAAGTGGAAAACTTCCTGTGCCACAATTACACTATCCATAAGTAGTCTGCCTCGTATAAAAGCTACCTGAGAATCACTTATGCGAGAATGTAGGCAAGGCTTAAGCCTATTGGCCAGAATTTTAGAGATTATTTTATAAACTACTCCACACAGACTTATAGGCCTGAAATTGCTCAAAAACTGAGGATGAAGGAATTTAGGAATTAAAGTCACAATAGTATGGTTCCAATACCTTAGCATTGTTCCTGATTGAAAATAGCTCCTGATGGCAGAACAAATATCATCTTTAAGCAAGGGCCAAAAGTGCTAAAAAAATAAGCTTGTCATCTCATCTTCTCTAGGAGATTTTTCTGGTTCATACTGGAAAGCGCTTCTGTTATCTCATCCTCTTCAACTTCAGTAATTAAGGCTTCATTTTGCTGATCAGTGATTGAGTGAGGGATGCTATGTAGAAACTCTTGATTGCCTGAGGTCCCTTCAGGGGTATACAGGTTGTCATAGAACCTGCACCCATAGTTTTGGATATGTTGAGGAGAACTAAAAAATTCTGCCTTCTTCATCAGTAAGTCTGGTTATATGGTTATTGCATTCAACTTTCTTCTTTTAGTAAGAGCATGTGAGAACTTAGTGTTCTTATCTCCCTTTTTGAGCTAAAGTTATCTAGATTTTTGCTTCCAATAAATCTCCTCCTCCAAGTATGCTTTGTTGAGTTGGGCTGTTAGAGAATGCCAGGGTTTTCCAGTCTCTTTCTCCATCTGCCTGTCTTAAGGCTTCCAGTGAGGCATTGAGGTATTGATCTTCTTTTGATTCTCAGAGATGAGTATTACTCCAATATAAAAGAGCCAGCCTTGTTGCTTTGATTTTCACTTTGACCTTAAACATTGGTGTACCCTCCTTAGGTTGAGACCAAGCATCCTCCACCACCTCTGGCCTCTGCTCTGCTATCACACCTCCGACTCAATTCTTGCACTCCTCCTCTGCTTAACCATCTCTTATCAAACTTGAATATGCTTTTCCTTTTTACTGAATGTGGATCAGAATTAACGAGCAGCATATTAGGGTTAGAGGAGCTTCTGAAGATGTTTTCCACTCTGGAATGAGGATGCTCTAAGAGCCAATCAATAGAGGAGAATGCTCTATCCAACTTATCACAGAGGAGCAATTACATTATTTACATTTTACAAAATCACAGATTTTAAATTTGTAAGGTTCCTGTGAATCAATATAGATGTGCTTTATCGTTTCTAGAATAACTGCGCTCTTTAGACTTAGTTAACGGCCCTTGCACATGACCGTTTTAAGTGATGCTTCAATTGCCGATTTGAAGTGGAACAAAAATAAACAAATAAACGTGTCGACGTATTCGGAGCCTATAATCAGGGGCGGATCCAGAAAAAATTTTTAGGGGGGACTAGACTGTTATTCAATCATAAACGATTTCAAGAATATAACTTGGTTTGGTTTTCTAAAGTTTGAGACCGAAATTACTTAAATGAAACAAGTTTGAACAATTAATCAAGTTTATAGTTATGTTCGCAAACAACTTGATTAGGATTTATGAATAAGTTTTGGATTTATTAAAACAATTTGGGTGAATGAGTCGAGTTTTATCTCATATTTTTATTTATTAAGTAAACGAGACAAACACAATTTTGAATATAGGGTACTGAACTGATCTCAATTCGAATGACATTTCGAGGGGATTATATAATATTTAATAGCATAAAAAAGATAAAGTAAATAATAAAGTTGCACTAAGTTTGGTAATATAAAAATTGTGTTCTACATTCTTTCAACTCAAAAAATTCACTAAAAAATTAACTCGGTATTAAAATTTCTTGCAATTTTTCATTCAAGCTCATGAAATTGCAAAACACGCATGCTCTCCTATTTCAAATAGCGAATTCTCAAGTATTTATATTCTCACATTCGAATTATTGAAATCTTAAATTACTAAAAAAATAAAAACAACAAATATTATATTATGAATATAGTATCTAAAACAAATATGATGTAGTTTTAAAATAATAAATAGATTCAATATTGCAATCATAAAGTAATAAGTAATGTATTTATGTGGTATAATTATAGATATATATACTAAAACTTAAAATGGTTGGGGTGACAATGGCCCCCCTTAGTGGATATGTAAATCCGCCATTACACAACCCATTAAATTCGTAATTTAGAAGTTTTAAATTAAAACGACACTAAAAAAAACAGATGGAGTATGATATATCAGTAATTCAGTATATCCCATGCCATGAAAGCAGTTATTGTGCAGTTTTTTTACTTAAAATAAATTATATTTTATGTAATTAGTTACTTCAACTTTGACATACTTGAAGAGGTGAAGTGAACTAAAAACGCGTTTTTAGGAGCCCCCATGCTGCCATGCATGACAGGAAAGCACTAGCTGTTTTATAAAATACCATTTTAACTGTTTCATGGCGCGTGTTTTCAGTTATCGGTTTTGATTTGCGGGACATTAAGTCATGGTGACGCGATATTAATCTTTTTATATGAAAACGTCTGTGTTTAATAATATTTTGAATTTTTATTTTTACTACAAGTTGCAATTGGATATTCGATTCAGTTCAATTCATTTATTTATTTTAATTTTTTTTATGAAAAAAAAGAACAATTGGATGCCATGTGATAGAAGAGTGGTAAAATAGTAATGAATAATTATAAATATGTAAATAGATAAATGGTAAGTTTATAGATATAAAATGATTGAATTTCAACTTTAAAATTATATTAAAATTAAAAACGTGGATCGAGTAAAGAAAATAATGCGAGATAAATGATATATATATGTGACTATATGTACACACATCCGATTGCACTATTATTATTATTATTATTAAAAAACTCATCAAACCAAATTTATTTTTAAAAAAAATTATAAACTAACTAAATAAGTTATAAGTTAGTTTATGATAATTATCAAACATATCATTACGATATATAGGTATATTTTATGGCATTAGGTTAGGACTTTTAAAATTATACGTGTGCAACTTTACAAATTATTGAAGTGCAGTTTTTTTTTTTTTAAAAAAAAAATGAAATTTTGGAAAAAAAAAAACTTGTATGTGTAACTTTTATATGATATTTAATAAGGTTAAATTAGTCAAGCATAATTAATACAACAATATATATTATATGAGCAAATCTTCTTATTAAACTAGTGTATATATGTTTTGTGAGGTATATTCTCTCATAGGCCACAAGGCAGAAGCATATATAATCCAATAATCCATTGCAAAACCGTGGAAACATCTGATGAATGATAGAATTCAATGCATCTCTTTCTAACTTGCATTAATTTGTACTTTATACTTGAATATTCGGATAAACCAATCATTATAATTTTATAATCTGATGACTAATTAATACCCGGTCCAAGATAATATTTTATTTTATTTTTCTTCTTGCACCTTAAATCCATATGATTAAAATATAAGGTAGTCCATGTGATAGGACAAATGCCCTTCTCCAAGAGAGGGTTAAAGTTTATTTGGCCTTTATGATTGCAATTATCATAATTTTTTGTTATTTTATTTTTGTAGCAGTTCTTTTTTATTGGGTAACTTGTGGCATAAGTATAACAAACAACATAACTTTTTATTGGGGTGAATCTTAACAGTTTTGCTATGCAGTCATCGGATGGCTCCGTTTATGGAGCCATTTACACTTATTCACCAATAGTGTATTGACACATGTCCTGCAATAAATACACTTTGGACATGT